GTCTCACTCCTTTGAGCAGGGTGGACCCAGGAGACCGGATCAGCATTTGTCCCCAGCCCCCTGTGGGGCCTCGGGGCCCCCTGAAACCTTCAGGACGGAGTCAGGTGAGTGACCAGCTTGACAAAGGACAGGGTTTGTATCATATGTGGATCATGGTTGTGACTAGTGTGACCAGAAGAGCTGCCAACCGCTGACACATAAGCGTCACTGCATGCTCAGTGACCATCAAGGCCCCCACGGTCACAGACACACATCCTAGAGTAGTGATCAAAGAGCACACCTAATAATCAGCATCAGCCCCCATAGACCGTTCCCCAGACACACACACACTCACACACACACACACACACACACACACACACACACACACACTCAGACCCTCACACATCCATACATTTACACTTTAGCCTGCATACACAAGCGATCGCCACACGCTTGTCAAATGCAGACACAAGCACACTTCCAGATTCACTAAGTGACACTAAGTGACACCCAGGCACGTTCACGGGCACACCCTCCCGGGTATACACAGGCAACCACCGGCAATCACTCTACACCCGTTCTTAGAAACACACTCAAGAGCTATGCATGGCCAGATGTGATGGTGAGGGCCTGTAACCCCAGTGCTTGGGAGGCTGAGGCATGAGGATCAGGAGTTCAAGCCCAGCTTCAGCTACATAGCAAGCTTGAGCCCAGCGTGGGCTACACGAGACCCATCTCTAATGCTGTAAGGTGTCGGTGCGTGCTCATAATCCCAACAGCCAGGAGGCAGAGGAAGGCAGAACTCTCTTGAGTTTGTATCAGCCTGGTCTACATAGCAACTTCTAGGCCAGCCAGGGATACGTAGTAAGATGACATTGAAAAAGAAGAGGAGAAATAAGAGGAAGAAGAAGGAAGAGATACATATTGACAGTCCTCACCCAGTGAGCACAGATCAAGACAGCAGTGTCTCCTGCATCTCTGGCTGGCTTTGAACTCACTATATTACAAATGGTGACCTTGAACCGACACTCCTGCCTCCGTTTCTCTCAAGTGCTAGAAATGAAGGCATGCGCCACCTGGCCCCATTTATGTGGTGCTGCAGACGGAACGCAGGGCTTCCTGCATGTCAGGCAAACACTTTATCAGCTGAGTTATGACTTCAGCCTGGACAGCTACGCTTCTGTAGACCAACAGCCTCACACACGGCATCTGGGAACCCCCCAAAGAGCTATGCGTTTTCTCCCATGCTCACAA